TATAAGTTTTTATTAAAAAAATTAAACTTTTTAATAAAAACACAGGCAAATTTGCCTGTGTTACAATTTAAGAGATAATATATCGAAAGTTAGTGATTTCTTTTTTGTATTGACATATAACTGATCGATTTTTTTTTTCAATAGTATAAGTCAAATTTACATATTGGCGCATAACAGATCAATTTTTTCAATAGTATAAAGTCGAATATTGACTTATAACATATCGAAAGTTATTGATTTCTTTTTCATATTGACGTATAACTAATCGATTTTTTTTTCAATAGTATGAGTCAAATTTACATATTGGTGTATAACGATCGATTTTTTTTTTAAAGTCAAATTTATGTATTAGCTTATAACATATCGAAAGTTATATTTTGGCACATAACAGATTTTTTTTTTTTTCGTCAAATTTACGTCTCATAATATATTGTTCATAGCAAAGTCAACTTTTGTTAAGCGATCGGAATTTAAAAATCATTTATATATAAAACCATTTCGAACAGTTTTTTTTTTTTTGAGAAACTTCTCTTCTCTTCTCTAAATTTCTCTTCTTTAAATTTTTCTTCTCTAAATTTCTCTTCTCAAAATTCTCTTCTCAAAGTTTTTTTTTTGCTAAATTTTCTCTTTCAAAATTTTTTTCGCTTCTCTTTTTGAATTTTTCTTTTCTTCCCTTTACTTCTCTTCACTTCACTTCACTTCTCGAATTTCTTTCTTTTTTCAAATTTCTCTTCTCTTACTGAATTTCTCTTTTCTTCTCTCTTACCGAATTTCTCTTCATTTTTCGAATTTTCTTTTCTAATCGAATTTCTCTTCACTTCCCAAATTTCTCTTCACTTTTCGAATTTTTTTCTCTTCCTGAATTTCTCTTCTCCTGAATTTTTCTTTTTTTGAATTTCTCTTTTCTTATTGAATTTCTCTTCACTTCCCGAATTTCTCTTCACTTCTTTTATCAAATATCTCTTCACTTCCTAAATTTTTCTTTTCTTATAATTTCTTCTCTTACCGAATTTTTCTTCACTTTTCGAATTTCTCGTTTCACTCTTTTCATATCGAATTTCTCAATTTCTCTTTTCTTATTAAATTTCTTTTTACTCTCTTTCTTATTGAATTTCTTTTCACTTCTCGAATTTCTTTTCTCAAAATTTTTTTCTACTAAATTCTCTTTTGCCATGGCTAGAACAAAAAGAGTCTGACGAACAACACCACAATTTATCATCAACCTAACTATACACCTTCAACTCCAACAACACCAACTCAATGTCAACCTAACAATACACCTTAAACTCCAACAACTTCAACTCAACGGCAACCTAACAATACACCTTCAACTCTAACAACTTCAACTCAATGGCAACCTAACAATACACCTTCAACTCCAACAACTCCAACTTAACCTCAACCTCTTTCGATTCCAACTCAACCTCAACCTCCTTCGACTCCAACTCAACCTCAACCTCCTTCAACTCCAACTCAACTTCAATTTATTTCGACTCCAATTCAACATCAACCTTCTTCGACTCTAATTCAACCTCAATCTACACCTTCGACTCCAATTCAACCTTAATCTACACCTTCGACTCCAATTCAACCTTCGACCCGATTATTAGGAAATGTAACTCCTGTTGAATCTGTTACTCCTATCCTGAGGTCTCTTGTGAGAACAGATAGAAGCAGAAGCAGAAGCAGAAGTGGAGAACGAACTGAATCTTTGGCTAACTTTGATCTATTGGAAAGGAGTAGAAGACTGGAGAATAGTAAATCTACTGGTAGAATTTAAATAGCAGTCAAATGCTGATTTTATTTTTTTACTTTTTTTTATATTTTTTACTATTTTTTTTATTGTCTTTTTTTATTATTATTTTTTTATTTTTTATATTTTTTTTTATTTTTTTATTTTTATTTTAGAAAATCGGTTGCTATAGAGTGAGATCGATACCTTACGTGAGATCCAAAGGGACCAAGATCGTAAAATTATGCAGTTGGAAGATACTGTAGATTTGTTACAGAATCAAGAACTTAAGTTTGTAGACTTTGAGAATAGTTTGGATGTGTTGCGGGGTTCATATAACTTTTTAGTTAATCAGATCAACAGCTTGCAAGTTTTAAGTTGCCAGTCATCGATGATTCAAGAGCAGGTCGATTGGGTAGAAAGGAATGTGTTGGAATCTTCATCTGCCGCACAACAAAAAACAGCTAGAAAAGCTTCTGCGAGTAATGAGGTGTATCAAGTTTTTGAAAATGACCATGAAAGAAAAAAAGCACTTCGTGTATATACTTTTTGACTTATTTTTTTTGTTTTTATTAATAATCTTAATTTATTTTTTTTGTTTTTATTAATAATTAATTTATTTTTTTATTTTATTTTATTTTATTTTTATTTTTATTTTTATTTTTATTTTTAATTAATTAATAATTAATTTATTTTTTTATTTTATTTTTAATTTTTATTATTAGAAAGAAATCTTTTACATTCTTAAAGAAAAAGGTGAAGAGTATGAACTTGACTTCACCAAAAAATGGATGGACCAAAAAGAACACCTAAATAAAAATATAATCTCTGCACTATTTGACCTTTTTGGTTTAACACTAATCGGACAGAATTGGGAAGCATTCTGCAACAACATATCAAATCGACCTGTAGCACTCGGGCTATATGTTAGGATCTAGATAAAACAAAGAACTTCGATAAACGTATACATAATAATTACCGGAGAGGTGATGCATGTTTTCTTTATTTATTTTATTATAATTTTCATTATTTATTTTATTATAATTTTTATTATTTATTTTTTTATAATTTTTATTATTTATTTTATTATAATTTTCATTATTTATTATAATTTTTTTTTTTCTAACTTACAAAAAATAGCTCGACGGGCCTTGGCATTTAAGTACCTTTATAGAAAGAAAGATCCCCAGGTCACCAAATATAATACGGATGAATTAACAAATTTATTAATGGATAATGACATCCATTTACCTGAACTATTAGATCCTGGTAAGGCTACGGATGAGAGAGGACAATTGTATGTTAATGTTCATAGCCTATCTTGGAGGTCGAGTGAGGTATAAATTTTTTTTTTTTGTTTGTTAAATTAATTCAACTAATATTTAATATATGCTGTTATACATATTAATTCAATTAATATTATTTGACTAATCTTTAATATATAATGTTACATTAATTCAACTAATATTTAATATATGGTATTCGACCTGCATTCAATCTAATCGAATACAGATTAAATACCATATCATTTGGCATTGAATTTACTAATTATAAAAATTTATTTATTTTTTTATTTTTTATTTTAATAGTTAATTCACTTGTTATATAACGTTCTTGATCCAACAATCGTGCTAGCTCAAAAACGTCACCGTAAAAGATTACATACGTTGAGAGTTCAGAGACCTGAAGGTGTATCTGATTGGGCAGCAAGTGAAGAAAATGAAGAAATTTATTCTAGTAGGGATGAAGGAGATGATGATGATGATAATGATGATAATGAAGATGACAAAGATAATGAAGATGATTATAGTGATTATAATAAGAATAAGAATAAAGGTGGTAATAATGGTGGTGGAAATGGAGGTAATAGAAATGGGGGTAACAAAGCAAGTGGTAAAAGACCAGCTTCTGATATTATAGTGGAATGACCAAGTAAATAAATAGCTTAATATTTTTTTTTAATATTTTTTTTTGTTTAATATTTTTTTTGCTTAATATTTTTTTTTTATTTTGTATATATATTTGTATCTATGCTTATTAATTATTAATAAATATATTGAATTTTTTTTGATTATAGTTTGATTTATTTTAATATTATTATATATAAATATTCTAATATTCGACTAGCTAATTTTATTCTAAATGTTTAGTAGTCAACTACTAATCGCCCTATTTTATATTAGTATTTGGTAATCAAATTCTTATCGATTTATTATAGCATTCGACTACCGAATGAAATGGCCGATTCGATCTGAATTCGATAGTCAAATAATTGGCTAATTTATATCGAATTGTTGAAATAATTCGACTATCGAATTCAGGTCGAATTGTTTTAACAATTCAATATAAATTAGCCAATTATTCAACTATTGAATTCAGGTCGAATTGTTTCAACAATTCGATATAAATTAGCCAATTATTTGACTATCGAATTCAGGTCGAATTGTTAAAACAATTCGATATAAAATTAGCCAATTATTCGACTATCGAATTCAGGTTGGATCAGTCATTTCATTCGGTAATCGAATTTCTTATATTTGACTAGTGGAAGCAGTATTGAGAAATAGCAAATTGAACTCAGCCCCAGGGATCTTAACAATTACATACTCATTTATCAAGCAGGCAGACAATAGGACACAAGTTATTTTTAAAAACTTCGCAAATTTGTATATATGCAGTGGGGTAGTACCAGATAAGTGGAAAGTAGCACAGATATATTCAATACCAAAGGGAATAGATTAGGAGTATGATCTAAACAAGATACGCCCAATAGCTCTACTAGAAATATTTCGCAAGTGCATAACCAAGGTGTTAACAAAGCATCTTAGCAAAATTATAAGTAAAAAAGCAATATTACAAGGTCCAAACTTCGCGGGTTTACCTGGCAACTCAACTGAAGAGCCAATTCAAATCTTAAATGCAGTAATAGAAGAGGCGAAAGAGTGGAATAAGGAGTTATGGGTTCTTTTTTAGGATATGAAGAAAGCATATGACTCAGTAAACCTTGAGATATTGCAAAAAGCCCTTGAGAGAATCAAAGTCCCGCTGATTATTTGTAGTTTTATCCTAAACCTTTTCAGAGACAGAAAGCTTAGAATAATTACAAATTTTGGCCTTACCGAAAAGATTGCTGCTAAAGATGGTATAGATCAAGGAGAAGTTATTTCTCTCTTAGTCTGAAAAATTTTTTATGATCCTTTGCTTAACAAGATACAGAAAGACAAAGAACTGGGATACACTCTCAAGCCATATGACAAAATGAAAATATTGATAGAGTTGAATCATACAGATGAGATCAGACAAGTGGCACTAGCCTATGCTGATGACACAGCCTGGTTAGCAAGTTCAAAGCAACAACTGGAGTATATAGTAGCTTTGGCTGAACAATTTTTTAAGTTAAATAATATTAAGATAAATAAAAACAAATCCAAGCTAGTAGTAGTTAACTTGGGTTTGGCTAAGCAGGAAAGGTGTATAGACTTTTGTGATACAAAAATCATGGCAGAAAGAAAGCTATGTGATGTAAAATACTTAGGTGTTATGCTCCACACTGCAACAGAAATAGGTAATATCAAAAAGAAGGCCAAAAAAATAGTGGGCCTTTTTTCACACTTAATAGAGAAAAAGAAGGTTACAGCAAGCCAATTAGTCTATATAAACAATCAAGTATTAATATTCAAATTAGAGTATATCTTGCAGGTTGTCCCACTTGCAGAGAAAGAAGTTGTAGCGATCCATTAACCAATGCTATATTTGTTTAAAAGAAAGTTGGGAATAGCTCAAACATGTTCGAACAATATTATATTGCATAATAGCATGCTAGGGTTTTAACCACTTACTAGTACACTCATAGCAAGATAGGCAGTTGTGCTGCTAAAGAGCCTAAATAATATAGACACAATAGGTAGAATTACAAGGCTTAGAATTAGACAAGGTATTTTTCATAAAGGGATAAGCCAAGATTTTTGGAAGTGTACTATTGCTAAGATGAGCAAGACTAGGTGAAGAAGCAACATTACCTGTAATACAGTTGAAAGGTGCAAACAGTTCGAAGTATTTCTTAGTATAGATGAACAAGAGTGGCAAATAAAGGGCACAGGCCCTACGATAGAGAATCTAATACCACTTAAAGTATTTGAAAAGAGTGAAAACTCTCGTATAAAATTAGAAATTTTTTATTTAGAGCAAATAATTGATTATGAAGGCAACACACTTTTAACGTGGCAACAGCTCAGAGCTCTGAAGGGTAAATGTATAACTGGAATGAAAGCTCAGTAGTTTAGCGAAATAGAAAAGAAAGTTCTGGTTTCAGCTGAGGAAAGAATACTAAAAAAGGAATATTAGCTAGACCACAGAAATCCAATGTATCTCCTAGTACAGTTTGAGAAATCAAAAACAGACAAGAGATGCAAGCCCTGGATAGTACTGAAAGATCAAAATTCAACAGTTCCAGTAATCGGTCGTGCTATAGATGCTAACGGTAAAGATATATACTTTGAACACTAGCTAACAGAGCCCAGTCACAACACAGGGTTACTGCACCGATGTACTAGATGTAGTGTAAATATAGCAAATGAAGCAAATCAATGTGTAGGCAAGAAGTCTATAACACAAAACCTTCGCCAAGTTAAAAGCATTGTTAAGAAAGAGAACAAATGGTCTATGCTAATCCCTGCACCCTGGTTTTTTACATATATTGTCTACTGTTTTTGAGCAAGGTATAGAAGAGAATTTTGTGGAGCTGCAGCCAATTGAAAACATAGACATCACCTTTATTAAAAGTCAGCACTTTAAACCAAAAGTCGAAAAGTTGTTAATTGAAAACGTAAATCTCAACTTATAAAAAAGAACCAAAAACCCGGTATTCTTTACGGATGGTTCTTTGATACGTCCAAATGACGAATCCGCGAATATTAATCTAATAGAAGCAGGGTGGATACAAATATATATAGAACAACCTGAAGTAGAAGTTATCAGAGGTAGTATAAAGGTGAAAAAGTGGCCTTCATCATCGAGACCCGAACTAGTAGCAATCTGGTGTGCATTATTAACAACATGCTTAGAAAGTATAGTTGAAATTAATACGGATAGTATGGTTGCAATATATAGTATCCAGAAAGCATTAGAAAATAGAAGTTTTAGAGTATCGAGTAAATTAAAGAATTATCTAATTGTAGATAAGATAGTGGAGACAATTTAGTTTAAAGGGCTCAAAATAGTATTAAACAAGATTAAAGCACATAGTGGTATTAAGTAGAACGAGATAGCAGACAAGCTAGTGAAAGAAGGTGCAGCCTTAGATGAAGACTGGTCAATTTATGAATTTTTCGGGTCTTGATAGCCATTTGGTGTAAGGTGGCAAGATAAACAAGTAGACTCTCCAATAAGATCTTTTATACTTCAAGTTACTAGCATAAAAACTGAAAGCAGCTAGTATATGCAAAAGAAGTCACATCTTCATGGCGAAAATGAAAAAGCAGAAGACTTGGTTTAGAGTAATTGTTGGAGAAGATTTAAAGAGTATAGAGGCATAAGATGTGACTCAACAAAAAAAAGTCTTAGATTAGTAGAGTATGTTAAAAATTTGTCATGAATACTCCCAACAAAAAGTGTTCTATACAAGAGAAGTCCCTCTGTATATCTGGATCCTATTTGTGTCCTGTGTAAAGATAATAAGGAAGAAAATGCAAATCACTTTATACAGTATCAGGTGCTAAATGAAACATGAGTAGAAATTGAAAAGTTTAGCATTAGTCTAGCTTGGGTATCAATGGATGAAGTTTATAGGGTAGCTTTAACAGTACAAGAGTTGTGGAGAGCAGTTCTTGGTTCATCACTAGTTGAGAGAGTCAAGACGCGTAGTCTTTTATCAAAGGGCCTTTTTAAATGCAGCACACTTTTGTGGTTAAGTAGTATTTTAAAGAATGAAGCCGTAGCACTAGAAACTCTAAAAGCAGCTAGCTTTGGTATACAAGAATGCTTTTATAGATTGGTATGGAGTGATAGATGTAGAAAATTTATCACATGGAAAAAAGAAAATAATATTGGTGCCAAGGAAAAACAACCAAAGAAAAGCGAAGAAAAGAAAAGGCCTCATGGAAAGGAGAATATCGCACCCGGTCCAAGTAGTAGTGTTGCGAACCAATCTAGGATCAATAAGTGAATAAAGATAGTAGGGGTGGATCAATTAGTAGAGTCAGAAGTAAGATATTTGTCAGAGGTTGCGGTAAGACAGAAAATTTTAAGTTCTAACCCACCGAGTTGGTGGACTAAAAGATTGTAAATATTTGATGGGAGTTGAGCCCAGGCTAGATCATATCTTTAAATACGTTACAACATATATGGGATATGGTGGCCAACATTAGTGTAGTAGTCAAACTTGGGCATTTCAAAGGAATAGCTGGGTTTTAGTCTAATTAGATTATTAAATAGCTTAGTATTGTATTAAGTAGTAAATATTTAATAAAATTTTAGTACATGGTTATTAAAAGAAATATATATATATATATATATTATTACTATATTTAATTCTTAGTTTCTTTTTATAACTATATATTATCTATTATAAATTCTTATAAAATTGGAATTGTAAGTTATAATTAAAGTAGCAATAGATTATAACTTAGAGACTTAGACATTCAGAAATTTTTAGACTTAGACACTTAAAAAACTTTCAAACTATTTAACACTCCTAAACTCAATATTCGATAATTTCAAACTTATATTTTATTAACAAAATTTGAAGTTTTAGATTTGGAACTATCATCTAAAACTCCAAAATCGACAAAACCAATGAACTACAATACTCAGCCCAATGCTTACATAGACATGCATAATTTTTCTAAAGAAAATTCAAAAAGAAAATTAACACGTGATTGTACTTCTATTAACATCCATAAGGAGTGATATTAAAATTTTTAGTATTATTTGAATTATGAATTAATAGTCATGGCAAAGAGCTACCATTTGCAAACCCAGGTTCAAGACTAGCTAAGGGAGCTACCTGCTAGATACCAAGTTCAGTATGGCCCTTAGTTGAAGTATTCGAATAATTGATTTTTATTATTATTATTATTATTATTAAATTTTTTTTTTATTTAACAAAGAAAAAAAGGAAATAATATAAAATATATATATAAAAGAGAAAAATAGAAGAAAGAAAATATAGAAAAGCAAATATATTTTAAATATCAATTCTATATCTAAATCTATTGCAACACTATTTATATACCTCTCCAACTCAGCAACCTGATGAAAAACCCTCCAATGCTCCTCATCTCTTCTCCAATTTTCTTCTACCGACTCCATCTCCCAAAATTGAATTTCTTCCAACTCCGCTTCTAACACAACGATCCATCTTCTCAAGGATCTCACCTCATACAACAACCTAAAAAGGGATTAACAACATTAATATTTCATCTAAAACAATTATTGATGAATATTTACCTTCTATTCTGATCTTGAACTTCGATAAGAGCCTCATAGAAAGCCTTATTACCACTGTGTCTGGCACATTAGACAGCACGAGAGATACAAACTTGAGGCATTTTATTTTGTTATTTTATTATTATTATTTTATTATTATTATTATTATTATTATTATTGTTATTGTTGTTGTTGTTGTTGTTGTTAATATTAATGAAAGGAGAAAGAAAAGAAAATTTTATTTTATTATATACACCTTATTAACTATAATAGATGAAACATGTTTAAAACCTGATGATCTTATTGGTTAGGAATGACAAAACAATTAATTACTAGTTTTTATTATTTTATTAGTATTATTATTCAAAGCAAACAAAAAGAGCAAAATTTTATTATCTATTTATTTATTGATATTTACAAAAAAAAAATTCTAAGGAAATGAAAAAGAACGATAAAAAGAGCAACTACCTTATATACAAAAATATCCTACCTCTTCTCCCCCTTTCATTTTTTTCTTCCTCCATTCTTCTTCTTTCATTATCTTCTTTTTCTTCTTCAAGCCAATAAAGTAAATTTTAAAGAGCAGCATCTCGATGTTAAACCAAGATCAATACCTATCTCATTCTTCTATTAAAGTCCCACATTCTTGCTCCCGAAGGACAAACTGTTGTAAATGATTAAGAGCTATATGGTTAAGCTCTTCAATAGTTGTAGCCTGATTATTTATTTGTTGCTACAACCATCTACAAAATAATATTACGATTAATAGATAATTAGTTATTTTCTCTTATATTAAGCGGTCCTGCCTTTATTTATTTTTTGAACTACTATTTGACTAATATACAGAGTACTACATCAAAATAGTCTATTACTCTATTCTAATAAAGACTTACCAGGCTAATAGCCCAATGCGACCTGCCATAACAACTGTTTATCTCTCTTAGGATTCCTAATTTACTAAGAATTTCGTATCGATTAAAGATACCCCTTCGATTATCAATTGGCTATTGTATACCATGGATAATTAGTTATTTAGTTATATTTATTTCTTTTACTATATATATATTTACAGGATGCCTCTAAAAGGCAAATCTGGCAAGACTATTGTACTAACCATGACATTTCTATTGCTAGTATTAC